TAGCTGTAATTCTAGTAGGAAGAGTTTCACTTCACATTACCCTTTTCTAGTTTCTCTTGAGTTGATTTTCGAAGAAACAGCATGCCGCTTTTGAACGACGCCTTCGTCCAGTTGGCGTCGATGTTGGCGATGGTATTCAGGGCTATGTTGTACGTATCTGCTTCCTTTTCCTCTTCGAGTCGCTGTCAATAGACATAATCTTCCATTTCAAAATGGCCGACGGAGACAGACATGAAAGGAAGAAGCGAAAATGACCAGGAGTAGCAAAAAGTGCGACGAAATAGACCGTTACTTCGAAAAGGGTTGGACAGTAGCCAGGCGCAAAGTCTCTATTGGAGAAAATTGGATGAAGACGAGAGTTGGCAGACGAGTGAGTTCCTTAAATATTCGAGAGTCAGTTGGACTACGGACTATGCCCTTGGTAAGAGTATTTGCTAATTTTAACATTGAGCGGCTACAGGCAGAGAACATATAGGAAAATCTCTAACGTCACTTCTGATCGTTCGTCCTGAGCATGGGAGGACTCCCGGAGCAGCCCTGAGCAGATCAGAAAAGTAGGTCAATCGGTATCACGTGGCTCAATGATGACTCAGATGTGCTCCCGAGTAGTTTGTAGGGTTTGCATCATATCTGTACCTGAGGCAGCCACACTCTAGCGCTTGGGATCAAGTGCTTGGCCTCACCAGGGGTTACAACCGTCAGGGCTTTGTAAGCCCACAGAGAAAGGGGTTCTAAATTGGAGCAAGTGAGTGCTTGGCAGATTATGTAATAAATCATACTAGGACCTAGTTCTACCCAATAGAAACCATGCGATCCTTGCAGAATCTCACAAATCCTGGTAAAGAGAGCACCCAAAACGGCGTCCCAGGTAGCCACTTTCGGCGCCCATTTTACCGTCAACTAGCGTTGGGGGTGGAATCGATTTTCCATCTCTTATACCGTTCCCCCAATATTTTCGGGTTGGCTGCTCATTTCAACCCTCCACCCAGCAAGAGGCTCTGCCCCGTCATGTACCCTGTTTTCACCAGCATGGTCACAACGTTGGCCGTTTCCTCGGGAGTTCCAAGGCGACCAAGTGGAATACCAGCTACCACATCGGGGATGGCCGCAGCGTTAGGGATCATGCCAGTGTCACCAATCATAGCAGGCGCCACGTCGTTAACACTGATATTGAATTCAGCAAGCCGGGTAGAAAGGTTCTTCATCATTCCTGTCAGACCACCTTTAGAGGCGGCGTAATCTTGAAGAGGGTTAGCTTTGTATTCCCCAGAACGTGAATGAGTCACATACGACATCCATTGATTCCCCCGCCTTGCGCAGCAATAGAGGACATTAACACAATGCGCCCCCAATTCTGGCTCTTCATATGCTCGACCGCCCCCTTGACGAGAATAAATGAAGCGCGTAGATTGACACGTAGAGTGTAGTCGAACTCTTCGAGAGAGCAGTCCCAGATTTGAGGAATCCGCTTCCCGTGTCCAGCGTTCGAGATCAGAATGTCAGGCCGGTGGCCGTGCTCGGTGTCGATTTGCTGGAACATCTTCTCTATGTCGTCAGCGGAGCCAACATCCACTTTGTGGATTGAGATTTGGAGCTTGTTGTTGGCGTATTTAGTCTGCAGATCGGTCACCAACGCATTCATTGCAGTTAGGTTGGTCGCGTATGTCAGGGCGAGATGCACTCCATGTTGGGCGAGCTGGTGTGCACAAGCAGCTCCAATTCTACAAAATCCATTGTCAGTAATTCATCCTCAGTGTGGGGTAACATGAGCTTGGGGAATACCATACCCTCCCGATGCACCGCTGATAAGCGCAAGTCGACCCTGGATCTCGTTAAGTGACATGATGCGATAGAGCTGATATGTGTGTTGATGTGTAACGATAAAGTGTAGAAGCAAATCACCAAATCTCCAAATCTCCAAAGCTCCAAGTTTGATCTGGCAAAGCAGCCTCGGTCGGGGTCATCTCCGATGGTACCCCCGCAGCTCCCCTCCGTATCATTTGCCGTCAAATCGGGGCGTGGGGGCACCACAACAACGCATCACATGCATCCTACAATAAGCAAAGCCACCCCGATCATTTAAAAGAGAAGGCTGCTGCTCATATCCCCCATCCAAGCAGAAGGCTGCCAAGATTGCGAGCGTGCCTCTCTAGATTGATACAAATCGGATGCATTCTGAAACGCATCCAGTCCCAATAAGCCATTAGAAATCTGGTCTCCGGATACATATTCGCCCACAGCCTCCAAGTCCAGCCACGAGAAGTCATTGGCAGGGCTAAATTGCATGTACCCCGTGTCTGCGACCGGGTTCGGAAGAGCTGTTTGCAAAGAAAAGTCACTATTTTGCTGTTTCTCTTCGGGTGGATTTGTGGGTTTGGGCTTCCACAGAAGCTCTAGAAGACGAGCATAACGCGACCCGACATCGTCAGTGCCGGCGCTTGCTTGTTTGAGGACTTCCGTTGTTCGGATGACTAGGCCCTGGACTTTTGCTTCTTCTGATGGGACCATCATTCCGAATGAGCGAGCCTATAGTATTGGTCAGATGTTATGCAGAAGACGGTACTCAAGCAGGGATCTTACCTTGTAGAGGAAAACGGCAGAATAGATGCCATATCTAAGTCGCATGAGCTGATTGTTTCGAAATAACACGCGATGAGAGAAAAACCTACAAGTAGAAGCGCAGAGGCATGAAATGGAGATGCTTCTCAGGATCTACCAGATCCACAAGGATTGTCAGGTAGGACTTGGCCGCATCAACAGATTCATAAATGAACCGTGAATCCTGCATCGATGCGACATTCTTAAACGTCGATCGTAGATGTTCTCGCTGGCCTTGTAGGTCGGTTTTCGGTTTGACTAGCGACTGCGAGATCGCAGCTTGGAATGCGAAAGCAGTTGTGTACAGCCGCAAATACTCGTATGACAACTGTAGTGTTGCTCGCACAGGGGGTGAGCCTGTTGATATGTTAAAACCAATACACACCCAGGCGCCCAAAGAGGTAAGAAACGGCACTTACAATCCAGTGACCCCCAAAGTGACTTCCACCGCAGAATCGCCAGACGGAAGTCATCCACATATTTAACATAGTCTCCCATCAACATCATCTGGTTACTAGTACGCATGCCCGAATACAGAACCTCATGAACATTCCCATAAAGTTGCGTAAGATCCAACGTAGCTTGAAAGATCTTCGCATAGTCCTCGTCGCCCTCGTTAACCGGCTGCAGCGACGGAAAATCCTGACTAACAAGACCAGTCATGGGTCCCGGGCCACGAGACCAGAAAGCACGTCCAATACGCACAGAAATCAAACGATCAGAGATATAGCAGCTCGCCCAGGCCAGCCGCCGACGAGCCTCACTCTCATGATCCCCATAAGGATCCCCACGGAAAGAAGTGCGATCCATGCCGATGAAATAACCCGATCGTAGCGCAAGCCCGACATGCATCCACGCAGCGCGGTCTTCCTCTCCGCGGCCAACGCGCTCAATACGAGGCCGTAGCCCCTGTGGTTCCCACTCGGCAAGTAACAGAAGCGCTTCGACCGCTTCAACATCGCACTCCGCGCCCGCGGCGATGCCAGAAATCAGCTCGTGCATGTACTTGGAGCAGTATTCGTGGATTTCGGGCTGGTCGACCAAGTCCTTGGAGGCGATCGTCAGGACTGCAGTGAGAAGGTGCTTCTCATTCGTGGCGAAGGAGTCTAAAGCTATGCGCGTAAAGTACTTCCGCGGCACGAGGGGAAGATACGGATGGAAGTTCTCCGCGTAGCGAGAGATCAGTTGCCATACCGTTTCCGGGTCTAGAGCACACGTCTGAACGAGTCTGTAGGCCCTGATGCCTATAGTTTGGTTGCTAAAGTCTGAGACAACGTCGTTGCGCAGGCTGTTGTATCCGGGGAACGCTGTTCGCTCCGACCGAACGTGGTCGTTGCGGACCTCGGGTATTGCCCCCGTGCCTTCCGTGGCGATGCCGGTCAAGCATTGCCAGGCGTCTGATGGATTCCGCGGGACAGATGATATTGAGGTATCATCATCCTCGACCGATGCTGAGGCTGGTGCTGGTGCTGGTGCTGGTGGGTTGGGTGGCAAGAAGACCAACGGGCCGGGATAAGATGCCGATTGCACTTTGCGGGGTTCAGAGTTGGTTGGACTTGATTCTTCCGAATCCTTGTCTGGCGACTGATTTGCGGGTGTAAAGTTTTTGATTTTGTTCTTTCGGATTCGACGACCTCCACGATTTGAGCCGCCTAAAATACATTCGCGGTTTTCGCGTACGCAGCGCTGGCATGGTGGTTTGCCAGGGTTACCGTTGGAGTCTCTGGATGCGATCAGCGTGGAACCAATATTCCGCCGATCCGGGGAAAGATCGCAAGGGATTTACTGAAAAAGGGAGAGAATGAGAGAAGTCGATAGTCTTACAGGTCACATCGAGACTTGCGCTGTCTGCAATGCAAGCAGGCTCGAGAAACACGCTTGGCGATCTCGCGCCGTGAGGCTTCTGGCGGGGATTCTTCGCCCATAGCGATATCGAAGGAACATTGAAGAGTTTGAAATTAAAGTCCAACGTCCAACGTCCCCACAGAGAAGTCCACTGGCTCTTACTCATCGTGTACTCCAACGCCAGCTATGTGGGGGAGCACCGTGGAAAACCTGGTCAAATCTTCTTCTCCTTCACAACTACTTCACAACTAGATATTGTACATCTATGCATGTGTATAATCTTCCTTTTGGATTACTGAAGTTAGAAAAACCCGACTAGAATACTAGAAGATACGATCTCACCTCGTCATACACCATTTAAGGAAACCCACTGCCAATTGCCGACGGCTATTGACATCGGCTGTAGGTATTGCCCGGACCCCGCGTGCTCGGTCTGGTCTGATTGGATTTCTCATTTGGAGCTCCTCCCATTTGGTTCTTTTGGTTCTTTTGATTCTTTTGATTCTTTCGGTGCTTTTCATAGCAAATTCTTTTTCATCATCATATCCATATTCACAATGGCAGATGTTATGTCCCTCTTCTCCCTAAGCGGGAAAACTGCTCTCGTTACCGGTGGAACTCGAGGTATTGGCCAAGCTATGGCCTTTGCCCTGGCTGAGGCCGGCGCCGATATCATCTTGATTCAGGTGAGTCCTTTGCGAGGAAAGAGTTGAAGAGCACATGTTCACATCTGAATAGAGAGATACCACCAACACATTAACGAAGGACGAGATCATTAATCGCCTTGGGCGAAAGGCATGGATCCATGTCGCCGAGCTTGGAGATCGCCAAGCTGTCAAGGACATCCTCCCTGCATTGACCAGCCAAGGACTGAAACCCGAGATTCTAGTGAACTGCGCGGGGATCCAACGGAGACACCCGGCGGAGAAATTCCCAGATGAGGACTGGGATGAGGTAAGTCGAGACCGATAAAACCCCGCAATCCAAATCCACCCCCCCCCCCTCTCTGCAACCTTGAAACAACATGTCTCATTCGTGGGATGATGGATAGGTTTTGGAAATCAACCTATCGTCCGTCTTCATCATGTGCCGAGAATTCGCCGCCTATCTCCTGGCTCGCGATGCGTCTGAATTCCCACAGGGTCGCCGTGGCTCTATCATTAATGTCGCATCGCTGCTCACCTTCCAGGGTGGAATTACAGTCCCCGCTTATGCGGCATCCAAGGGTGGTATTGGGCAATTGACCAAAGCGCTCTCAAATGACTGGCTCGCCAAAGGCATCAATGTCAATGCGATTGCCCCCGGTTATATTGCTACCGATATGAACACCGCCCTCATCGCCGATGCGACCCGCAACGCCAGTATCATGGCACGCATCCCTGCTGGCCGATGGGGAAAGCCCGAGGATTTCAAGGGTGCTGTGGTATATCTGGCCAGTCAGGCTAGCAGTTATGTGTCTGGTGAGATCCTGACAGTTGATGGTGGATGGATGGGACGGTAAAGATGGAAGAATATCACGGAGTTGAAACAAATTAGAAGTCTTGGGGGGAGTACGGAGTGGTCAGTGCACAGCTCTCTGAAACCACGACCAAACCGATGTCTTGCAAAACACCGGCCTGAGGAACTTTTCCAGTCGAAATCAAGTCTAAAAATTGTTTCAGATTCTTTCTATCCAACGGCGTCACGCTCAGAGTCGAACTCGGATCTGCGGAGATCTTCAATCTTCAGCAAATGTCGAAAGGGGCCACTAGTCTTTTTTAGAAACACTGGCGCCTTTAGTCTCAAAGGAGTTCTCCCGATAGGTCTGCCCTGTCATTTAAGCGCCTGCCTTGGCTAATCAGACCATACAGGGGGTTTGTAGAAACATGACATGTACTCTCATGAATTTCCTTTTCTTCAACTTCCGGGCCGAGCTTTGATTTCATCTTTCTTCTTCCTCGAATCGTTTGGCTTTGATAGTCCGTGGAATACACCCTGTCTTTACTGAATCCACTGTCTTTACTGAACTTGCCTTGGAGCCTGACGCTACGTCTGGTGTGAACTACCTCGACATTATCCGATTTCGTTGGAAAGATCCAAAAACGTGCCAACCCCTTGCTTGCATTCCAGACATTTTGAGAGCCTTGACAAAACTTCGAATTTTTGACGGGCTAATTTCTCTGGAATTCCAACCGACCGGGGTTATTTTGAGTTGTTTTGTGGACTTCAACCTGGACATTCACAGTGATCCTCATTGTTCATTGTCAACCACAAACAAATGAGCTACAATGCGCTCATGATAAGACATTGTCTTTGTCTGATACAATTAAAGAGGGCCCTATCTATATCGACGCACGTTCGCTAGCCCTGTTGATAATCCATCTCATCTGATCCATCCACCGTCGTTGACTTCGATTCCTCGCAGGCGCCCATATCCACTCGACTCGCACATCTTCCTCTCTCGATTTCAGCTGTTGAGCAGCTGCTCAAAACATACTCCGGATCGCTGTCCTGACGAAAAGAGCCCGCATCTCTTTTTTTTATTTTTATTTTTATTTTTATTTTCAATATCTGCACCTGTTCAATGGCAGCAACCCATCCGCATGTTGCGGCACGAGGGTACGGGTCAAATGCGACATACATATTTGAGTACTCTAGGGGGTTGGGGGGCGTGGACGTCCCTCGCGATGTGATCATTACTCGGATCATCTACGTTTCCCTGAGCGCCGTGGCAGTCGCATTGTTCTGTGGCCGGGTCGCCCAGATCAGCCATGCCTATCTACGCCAAATCACCGCATCTAGCGCAGACAAGCGCCAGCAGACTTTCTGGGCCCAGGAACAATCAAGATGGTGGTCCAAAATCAAGAAGCATATCCTCTATGCCCCACTAGGAAAAAAGAGACACAACCGAGAATTACAGCTCTCGTCTGCTGTCAATGTCGGCACCTTACCCTCCCGACTGCAGACCATCCTGGTCGCACTATACTTCACTAGCCAAGTCGCATACTGCTTTGTTCTGGACTATAGAGTCAACAAAAAAGCAGCCTTATTGGCCGAGCTGCGTGGCCGATCCGGGGTAATGGCCGTCCTCAACATGGTCCCGCTCTTCCTCCTCGCCGGCCGAAATAACCCCTTGATTGCAATCCTTCACGTTAGCTTTGACACATACAATCTCCTCCACCGCTGGCTAGGCCGCATGGTCGTCCTTGAGGCAGTCATACACACAGCTGCATGGACTGTCAACGCCGTCGACGAGGAAAACTTCTCCCTCATGCTCGTCCGCGTACGTGATACCCCCTTCTTCTTATGGGGCTTGATAGGCACAGTCGCAGCGGTTTTCCTCAGTCTACACTCTCCTTCACCCATCCGCCACGCTTTCTACGAGACCTTCCTACATCTGCACCAACTCGCCGCCGTGCTCACCTTTGTGGGCGTATACCTCCACCTCCAGCTGGATAATCTCCCGCAGCAAAGCTGGGCGAGATCAATCGCCTGCATGTGGCTGGGCGACCGACTCGCGCGACTCTTCCGCCTCATTCACCTGAACGTCTCGACCTCAGGCACAACCACGATGGTCGTTCAAGCTCTCCCAGGCGAAGCCTGCCGCGTAACCTTCCACCTGCCCAAACTGGTCCAGATCGAACCAGGCTGCCACGTCTTCGCCTACGTCCCCAGCATTTCATGGTGGATGTCACACCCATTCTCAATCGCCTGGACCGAACCCAGCACGAGCAGCACCGCAGCCTCAATCCCCTCCCCAGCCCAACGGCAAACACGGGGCAAAGAATCCGCCGATGTGGAAAAACAATCGGACCTCCTCAATAGACTCTCAAAACCATCCACCCAAGTCTCCCTCATTATCAGCGCCCGAAAAGGCATGACCCGCCGTCTCTACAACGCCGCCGATGCTTCCCCCTCCAAAACCCTCACATTATCAGGCTTCATCGAAGGCCCCTACGGCTCACACCCAACAAATCCCTCCAGCTACGGCACAACAGTCCTCTTCAGCGCTGGCGCAGGAATCACCCACCACCTGCTCTACACGCGCGCACTCGTGACCGCCGCAGCACAGAACACCGCCGCAACGCGGAAAGTCTACCTGATCTGGTCTGTCCGGTCTACAGATCACCTCACCTGGGTGAGCGGCTACATGGACCAGATCCTGCGCTTGCCAGATCGGCGGGATATTCTCGTTGTCAAGCTTTTCATCTCGAAGCCGCGTCGTGCGACGGATGTCGTGAGTCCTTCTGCGACGGTGCTGATGCATTCTGGGAGGTGTAGGCCGGACGTTGTTCTTGATGAGATTTTGCCGGGGAGAACCGGGGCTATGCTGGTGAGTGTTTGTGGGCCTGGGGCTTTTGCGGATGAGGTTAGGGCTGCGGCGAGAGAGAGGATTGGGAAGGGGGCCGTGGTAGATTTTGTGGAGGAGGCTTTTACATGGTGAGGTGTCGTTTGGGGTTGTTTTCTTCTTGTTTTGAGCTTTCCTTTCTCCCCAAGGGGTGTTTCCTTCTTGTTCTTTTCTTTAATGCGAGCTTTGTTCTCCGTTGTGCTTTGCGGTTGGCGATTGCGCACATGTCGTTTTTTGATTTAGAACTGTATACTCTGTACATTGTTACTTTTATCATCTCCACACTCTTCCTGGATGAATTTGAGAAAATCCTACTGAGAAATTGGGAAGGCGGTTGACTGTGAAATCTATTCAATATGCACGAGATGCCTGAGAAACGTATTTAACATGCAATAAAACAAGATGTTCTAAGCGAGTATATATATGCAAAAATCCAGGCAATGCCTTTTTGCAGGACCAAGTGTCACATGGAAGCAAGAGAACATGCACCAAGGACAGGAAGGATCAGGTATGGCGGTCTAATTCAGAGCGCTTTTCGGGGGTAACAGTAGCCATCGGAAGTCTGTCTCAGTTGAACCACAAACAACCAAAAAAGACAACCACATAATAGTGAAAAATAAAATCAAGCAGTCTTTGTCTTCTTGCTACGTGTTCCCTTGGGCACACGAGCGAGCCAGTAGATGCACACAGCACCAAAGATGTTGAAGATGATAAACGCCCACATGATACCGAAGTTGCGCCATGCATCTTTGTAGTAGCTCAGCACGCTGGCGAGATAAGTATCGGTATCTGCGATAGTGCAGAAAGCGCAGTTGCTAGTGGCGTTGTTGTCGACGAGGTAACCGCCAGCAGGAGCAGCGACCTGAGTTCCGTTGACAACGAGTCCGTTCATATAGGTATTCATGTACTCGAAACAGGTCTTGCCGGCAGTGGGCTCGAAGTGGAGCAACTCGACGGACTCACACTCGACCTTTGCACCGGATGTGCCGGTCGACAACATCGCAGAGACTAGGTAAGTGAACGGCGAGACGCGGTACATGAAGATCCAGAAGTGAGGCATTTTGTCCGGGGTAGCGAGGACACCACAGAAGATCAGACAGAGGGAGAAGAGCAAGTTGGCGAGATTGCCTCCTGTTTCGGCAAGCTCGATACCGGCAATCATCATATGAGAGAATGTGCTGGTGAACAACATAAAGGTTAAGATGAGGAGCCACATCAGAGCGCCTCGCTCATGGAGGTCATCGGCACTGGCGTTGCGTTGCAGCCCGACGGGATAGTACCAGCAGAGGAAGATGAGCACAGACATCAGGGCGTTCCATGGGAGTTCGACAAGGATGTTTGCCGACATAAAGGCTTGCCATGAGTATGTTTTGGAGGGGCGTTCGCGGACTTCGTAGAGGGAGCGCTGGGTAACGAAGTGTGGCATGATTTGTTGCACCAAGTTACCGAAGATTGTCATCAACATGAAGATACTGAACATCTGGTTCTGGAGTCCTTGCATACTGTTCTGGGCGTGGAAGAAGGAGAAACCGACGTAGAGGGCAGTCAAACTGCAGAGCGCAGTCTTGGAGTAAATGTAGATAGGAGTCCGCCAGTATTGGCTGAACACACGGATGAGACACTGCCAGAGTTGGACGGCGAACGGTGCAGCGAATTCATTGAAGCCGGCTGGGTCGTTATCGGTTGTGGCAACGGGCTTTAGAGAGAGGTTGTTCCTGAGCTCGGCGAGGTGGTTTTGTACTGCCTTGCGCTCAGGGCTTTCGCGCCATACAGCAGGCCAGTCGATATCACTATGGGTTCCGGGAGCAGCTCCAATCACCTCAAGCATCCACTCAGCAGGGTTGGCCTCAGGAGAAAGCTTGGGAGCACCATTTCGTTCAAAGTAGTTAGAGAGCGTGGAAGAATGCTCGCCGATTTCTCCGAAATAGACGGTTCTACCACCCTTAGCGAGGAATAGGAGACGATCGAATCTCTGGAAGAGCATAGCAGAGGGCTGGTGAATTGTGCAGAGAATAGCCTGACCGTGCTTAGTCAAGGTGTCAATAAGATCCAAGATAGACCAAGATGTTTGACTGTCAAGACCCGAAGTGGGCTCATCCAGGAAGAGAAGCAGCTGCGGCTTGGCAGCTAGCTCGACACCAATAGTAAGACGCTTGCGCTGTTCGACATTGAGACCTTCACCGGGGACACCGACGACGGCATCCGCATAGTGTTCCATTCCAAGAAGCTTAATTACTTCCTCGACGTAGTCAAGTTTCTCCTGGTGAGAAACGTGACGCGGCTGACGGAGAATGGCGCTGAAGCGGAGGGCCTCGCGGACTGTGGTAGTGTGGAGATGGAGATCCTGCTGTTGAACGTAACCAGTCTTACGCTGGAAAGACTGGTCGCGAGGACGACCATCAACCAACATCTCACCAGACACAACACCCATTGTGACACGCGTGGCAAGGACATCCAGAAGAGTGGTTTTACCGGCCCCAGAAACACCCATCAATGCAGTGCAGGTACCGGGCTTAACCCAGCCGTCAACGTGGTCGAGAATGCGACGTTCCTCATTTTTGATGTGAACATCGTAACACACGTCTTGCCATTGGAAAATAGAAGTTTGTCTTTGGATTGCAGCAGACTCTTGTTCGCCGCCGGAGCCAGCACCATCCTTCTTTTCCGCAGAGGACACACCGTGTGTCTGCTCGACATCACCATCGGAATTGCCGGAGTTCTTGGGGGCGTAGCCACGACGGAAAAGCAGAACCTCGCCCTTGGACTTAGCCTCGGAGATGTACTCGGTGCCGACAAGGTAGGTGACCATGAAGAAGACCATAAACCCAATCATAATTCCCATGTTCCTCCACCTGTGGCTGTTGGAGTACTGGAAGCTTGCAGTGTAGTAGGCCTCACCACTGACAAAGTTCTGGCCGGCCACAGCTCCTTTCGCCGAGCAAATCTTGTTGAACCGGCCGACATCAGCGTAGGAGTCTCCCGCCGGGATGAAAGACTCTGGGTTGCAGGGGAAATTGCGACCGTGGAACTCGTTCACAATCAAGGTCTCAAACCCATATGCGATTGGGTCAATGTAGTTCATCCAGCGAGACCAACCAAGCATGTTGCGGGTTGGGATGGTGAATCCAGTGTAGATGACCAGACCGAGGATCAGGATTGCGGCGGGCACCAGAGCCTGAGATAGGGTACGCGAGTAAGAAGCGATGGTTCGGAAAATCATCGACATGGTCAATGTGGTCACGAATGAGAAGAGCATGAAGGTGAAGAAAGCGCCAGCGTTTTGGCGAAGACCAGTCATGAAGTAGAGCGTAACGTTAAAAGTGATGGCATTAAGGATTTTGTACGGCATGTCACATAGCATTGACGAAATTGCTTCGGCAAACGGATGATACATGGCGTAGCGAGCTTGTTTCTCGACAATAGGACGTTGCGCGTAAAGAGTTAGAATTTCCAGGGCACTGGAGAAGGAGTTGAGCAGGACAGCGAAGAAGAGGAGGGCACCACGAGAGTAAAAACTGGTCACGTCGTCGGGCAGCTGATAGAAAACCGAACCGACAATCAAAGCCATAATCGTGTTTCCAATCAAGGCGGATATAGTTAGACTGTAGTCACTTTTCAAGCGCTGGAAACCACGTGTAACACAGATTTGGACCTGCTCGGCGACAGATAGGGTGTATGGAGACTTAGCGCGCTGGCCCTTCGACTGCATAGCCTTGCGAGATTCAACAAACTGTTGGAACGACTCGCCACCAATAGGGTACTGTGTATTGTAGTCGTCAATCTCTTTCTGAAGCTCCTTGTACGCAGCACTATTTTTCCAGGCCTTAGCGAACTCGTCGGGGGTACGGGGAACCATTTTCTCAAAGCCAGGCTTAACAACTCGCTCAGCGGGGCTAGTAAGAGAGGTCAGGAAATCGGCGGTAGTCTGGCGGTCGGGACAATGGAAGCCCATGTTCGTGAAGAATTCCCTAGCCTCGGTGGTGCGGCCAAAGTAGATCTGTCGACCCTCGTACAGTACAGTCACCTTATCGAAGACATCGTAGGCACTCTGAGATGCCTGGTAGATAGCGACCGCACAGGTGGTGCCCGAGTACTTAGACATCAGATTCAATGTCTTACAGAACTCCAGAGCATTGGCACTGTCCAGACCACGGGTACTGTTATCCCAGCATTGAAGAGGGCTGCCACAGAGAGTAGCCTCGGCGATACTGACACGCTTTCGTTCACCACCGGAAACTCCACGGATGAAATCGTTACCGACTCTGGTGTTGATAGTGTGCGAAAGACCAAGCATAGCCATGACAACATCACGCATGTGCTCTGCATACTGGTCACGACTGACGCCCGGCAAACGATTGCGCGGGGCACGAGCCAGAGCAGCAAATTTCAACGTATTTCCTACCGAAAGCTGGGGGAAATGGACATCGGTTTCGGCAGTATAGATAGCCTCACCGCGGAACTGATTGCGCATCTCCTTATCGGAGATTCCTTGGTAGTTCATGTGAGAATTGGCATCTTTGAAGATACCGTTCATCTCCCCCGCAATGGTCTTCAAGAAGGTCGAACAGCCAGATCCAGGACGGCCGAGAACGATCAGCATCTCACCGTTCTTAACAAGACCATCGAAGTCGCGCAGAATTTGAATCTTCTGCTTGCCAGTGCCGGCCATCGTACGGAAAAAGGCACCAATTTCCAGAACAGAGTTAGCCACATCCTTCTGGTAGTCTGTAGGACTGCCGAATCCGTGTACGCTGAGGTTTTTGAATGCCAGACCAGCCTGACGCTTAGGGTATCGTTCTGGATCGCGTGATTGGATAGCAAGGAGGTTCTTCATCCAATTCTTGGCCTTGAAGTTTCCACTGTGAGGGTTGAGAGTTGAGTCCTCATGGGTTTCGATGAAAGGGTTCTCTGCATTCTGGGGTGACACAGAGAAGCGCGTTGACTGGCGGGTGAGTTGCTGGGCCAGACGGGTGACTTCGGCATCCGTGTACTTCTCGTCACCGACCTCGCTCTTCTCATTGGCAGTGTCTTCGGTGTTCACGCTGGCAGTAGGGTCATGGCGGCGAGCTTCCATGTTGGCGACATGTGATTCCTGTGCGTCTTGAATGCCGGCGAAGTTGGTGTTAAATGTCCCAAGGACCGACATGATGACCTTCCAGCACGGTCACTGTCGAATGGATAGAGGTTTGGGGCTGATTAAGTGGGGTGGATTCCCTAGAATTGATGAAAAGAGAATGGGATGACCATCCACTGGATATAGTTAAAGATTATATAAATTATTAGGTATCGAGCAATGAGAAGAGCAATGAGAAGAAAGAAAAGTGATAAGCAAAGAGTTTGGATTAAGGAGTTATAAAGTAAGAAAATGTAGCAAGATCTGGGACTCGGCTAGGTTGCTTCCTTTTTGCCCGAAAAGAGAAAAAAAAAACGGAGACTCCCGTTGAAACAGACCCGGGGCGGAACTGGTGAGTTTCCGGGCGATTTCAAAAGTAAAATTTTCGTATAGGATTTTGGAAAGATCTAGCCTTTCGTGGCTGAGTGCCAAGAATCAATACCACGGGTTTATCTCTATATTAGGATAACCATGGTCATCATCGTAGGGATTTGATTGTGTTGTATGCTCGGACACTAAACTAAGAGCGAACACGAATGCGATGTACGGAGTACAAAGCATGACTATATACATGTATAGAGTCCTCCGTACCTGCTACTTCAATTTGATAGCCAAGCAAGGGGTTTGCCATGTTCTTTGTACATGTGCCACACACGTGTCTACAGGCGATGAGCAAAGTTCCTGCCCAGGTGGTCGTACATGGAGAGTCAGCACGGGACTATAACTATCCGTTTCACATAGGGCTCGGATGCCCGGGCCACACTGCATCCGAGCTGGATGACTAAGCTATTCCTAGCCCAGGAGGGTCCTGGGGGTATCCACGGATCCAAAGCTTGGATGAATAGATTCTTGGAAGCTAAACCGTATACGGAATGTGGAATGCTGGACTCCACCTTATCTCCGCACCTTAACTCCACGTAACCTCCCTCCTAACCCCTTAATATCGTATGAACCAAATCCCGCCTATTTCGTTGGGGGAAAGAGTCTCTGGTGTTGAAATACTTTGAAAAATCTCAGGTAGAATGTACTTCGTATGGATGAGTACTGTCAGATACGTGCTATAGCCCCCTTGCATGGGGTTGATATTTAGGCCGATGTCTATTGGTCCTTTCGGATGAGCCTAGCCAGCGACCTTGGAAAGCGCCAGGCTGCAATGATTCCATGGTTTTTGGCCCATGCCTATCTTGGAAATATGGAGCATGCCTGTTCGAGTGAGCGGACATTTTCAAAATCTGACTAGACGAGTAAAAATTCGGATACGCCGCAAGGAAAAAGTGAGATATATTAATCTAAATTGTACATTGGATATTGTTTAAAAACAAAGAGCGGTGTGCCAATCATAATCTTCCAAGGAACCTACAAATACAGCATTTGAATCATAGAGATCAGTCATATTCAAGACATGTCGGTCGCAGCCTCGTCATCATCTGGATCATCTTCTTCATCGATCAGTTCCACCAATAAATTGCCACCACGGCCTATCTTCTCTCTGATCGATCCTCCCTCGTCAACAGCATACACCACCCGAGGCATCGGTGAGACCAGTTGAAATCCGTATTGGTGCACAAACCCCTCCGGTGCACTCGCCACCGGACGCTCTATATCCTGCTCCAGTAAGATCTCATAACACTCAACCACGGCGTAAATCTCTTCAATGTCCGCATCGGGCGCAAACTTGCGCATGATACGCTCGCCAGACGGGAGCCGCACGCTTATACGGACGGCATCCTTGACATCTGGTCCGGGCTCCGCGCTAAGCGATTGCCCGCGCCAAAGCTTCCACTGGGCAAGATTACGGCGTCGCTGTTCCTCATCTGCCTGTCGGCCAGCGGCTTCCTGTTCTTCGCGTTGGCGTTCCATCTCCGCTTCTCGGCGCTGGCGTGCCCGTTCACGGTCAATCGCCAGCGACCGCTCGTAGGCTGAGTCTTGCTCTTCGCGAAGACTGCGCGAGGCTTGTTGCTCAGCGCGTGAAGATCGGAGTCGATCTAGAGGCTCACTGTTAGATGTCAAAACTGCACGGAGCTTGTTCACGACCTCAGATGGCGTAGTGAGCCCAGCAATTCGTCCTACAACAGACATGGCAGTTGACGAAACATTTGGGGTATGGACGATGACTGCTGCAAAGGGGAATTTAGTGCATTTCAACGAGTTGGCAACTTGGTACGCTTCAGAATCTTGCACACTGCCGCCCCACACCAGCAGGTTGTTGTGGGAGTCATTGACGAATTCCACGACCTCAGGCGCCAGCAAAGTATCACGGACCCAGTTGTTTGTATCGTCATGCTCTGGAGATAAGAGAATGACCACGAGGTACTTCAAGTCGCGATGAGCTTTCTCCAGCGCCATGTTGTATCCGTTCTCCAGGAACGGAAGCGGGTTTGATTCGTATTCTTCCTCAAACTCGCGGATGAAGCGAGCGGCAGTATCCTTGGGGCCGAGGGATCGACGGCCAGTGGTATTCCGGCGAGCGCCTTGCAGCGCAGGATTCGCCGTCCTATTAAACAAGCGAGGCAAGAAAGGGAAGAGGACACCAAAGAGGCGGAATGAACTGCAGAAAAGTCGATACACCAAATTAAACGGAGTGAGAAGTAGACTAAGAATGAATGAAGGCCGGTAGATGGGCTGGTCTCCAGGTTGCGTGTCAACTCGTGGAGCCAGATCTGTAGCTGTGGCACGAGCATTTTGCGACAAGTGTTCGGTCAAATCGTCGGTCATCAGATTCTGGGTTCGGCGGTTGGGTTGTGGTGGAGGCGGGCGATCCATGGCAGCTCGAGCTTCTTCAAGGGGATCCGGGCCTTCGCCATCAAAGAACTTGGAGATGGCAATCTATCGTACGGAGATCAGTCAAACACGTACGCTTGGCCAGAAGCTGGGGAAGATAGACCAACCTGCAGATTCCATTGCGACCGGCGTAGCAGGGGGATTGCTTCCGAAGGTTCCTGGCTGGTGACAGCCATGTACATTTCTAGCGTAGATTTCTCGCTATCGGAAAGGTGGTCCAGGTCAATCTCCGGTTGTGACATCTTGTTGTTTCAGGGCCGTAGACCATTAACTCAAGAGTGTGGATGATATCAAGAGAAAGAATGAGGAACAGCCATGAAGAGGAAGATCATCTAAGGATGGTCATTGAGCACGTGCAGATGGTCCACTACACAGACAGTAAGAACGACGTGACGTCGAAGCTCAAGTGGCCTGAACGAAGCTCTCATTGATGTTCTGACCGCCTGGTCCGTGCGTGTCCCCCTTCACTCGAGTTCGTCTCTCGCCCCGCGTCTTCATATCCATCAGTCTTGTCGCTCTCACTCATTCTTTGGGATGAGAGACGACTTCGGTCTTATCCTTTAATTTCATTCATGCTTATTGTTATCGGTTGAGATACTGCCCGACGTCCGTGGGCTCTCCCGGAATTGACCCGCCGCCAATCGCATAGACCATTGGCGACTTGAATTTACATCAGATCAAAGCCGGGGAATGCGGTTTTCACCCAATAGCACCCTTTGATCTCTACCGAGTCCGGTTTCAATGGGGATCTATTTGCGCTGATCCGTACCATCAAGTGGGTATCAGCCAAACATCATGGCGTCTACCGGAAAGCCTCCCTTAGAGGATGCTCGTCGAACAACCGGATCACCGAAAATGAAGAGCCGCGGTGAGTGCGACTCAAGTTCAAAGGCTGCCACACTATTCCATTTCAGGTCTGAGATGGGCAAGCCGGAGATAAAAGCCGAATTTGATACAGCCGGAGTTGCTGACAACGATGATTATGCTTGATAGAGAATGCGAAAGACACTTTGTGCCGCAACGTGACCATATATGGGCGATGCCGCTATGAAGACAAAGGTATTGGCGAACCTTGATCACGGACAGCGTGTGTGGTGAAGCTGATTTGGAACTCTTGTATCCAGGTTGTGCTTTCAATCATGACCCAACGAAGCTTAATGCAAACCAGTCGGACAGGTGCGATTGCAAACTTTGTTTTTTTTTAAAGACAAACACTGGGCAAGTTTTGCTAACAAGAAATGTCCCGTATGATAGCAAGAAGCGGTTCAATGTCGACTCACCCAGTTTCACCCCATCTTTGCTATCTGGGAACGTCGCATCAGCACCAAAAAAGTCCACCGCAATATCCCCGAAAGCTGCCAGTGCAGCTCCTTTTCAACCTCGAACAACATCATCACGTATGTGCTTAGTGGGAAGAAGGAGGAAGGTCACGAAGGCATCAGCTGACGTTAGAAAAAGGTTCAAACACGAGTACGCCAACAACACGTTCAGAAGCAGCCCAGGATTGGGCGGTAGCCGATGTGCAGGAGTTTGTTCCCCAGGGCTTTGAGCACGTGGTCAGTCGTCCCTGCCCTATCATTTGATTCCCCTCATCCATGGATTGCTTCTTGATATTTTACCCATCCCAACCTCTCTCTCCTTGCACTGGTCGTATTCTTATCATCATCTCTATCATCGTGATGGCGCAGGGTAGCTTGTCAGCCCTGGCAGCGGAGTTTGATCCTGGGCGTCATGAGACTCCCCGGTACTTCACCTCTCATCTGCCTCAGGCTGACCCTCCCCCGATCTTCAGCGCTGCTCTGTACCGCCGTCGTGCTAATGCTCGCAACCAGACACCTCTTCAGGGCAATGGAAATGGAGGGATCACCCCCACAGGTGCATTTGATCCTTTTGTGACTACTCCAACTCCCATGACTCCAGGTGCTGTTGGCCCTGTTTCTGCCAATCCTTATTCCCACGACCCTACTGGCACGATGGGGGGCGCTTTTTTTGCAAACCAAACTGGATTCCAACAACCGGTACGTTGATATCCAATTTTTCATACTTTTTGTAGCTTTGAATGAGCGCTAACCGCCCCAGTAGATTCAGTACCATCTCTATGCCCCAATTGGCCCTCACAGCCAAAACACATTGGGTTACCAGCGCAACGTGCATGATCTCTTTATCCCCAACGACTTGCGCGAAGAGCTGCAGAAGAAATCCGCGGCTACCCTTCAAACTCTCCCTAGTATGTTGAACCGCAACTGGCATTTATTTGTACTTATTCTGACGAACTTGAAGACACCCAGCTTCCTGCCCAGGTCGACTACTTCCATTCCCTTGTCCCTCTGGATCTCAGTCATCAAAAGAATGCTGCGACCTTTGGCTACCCGAGCTGGATCTACAAGGCCCAGTCTAGTAAAGATGGCACATTCTATGCTCTTCGCAGACTTGAGGGTATGACAATCCCCTACTCTCTTTTTTTTGTAGCCTCCAACTCATCTTGATAGGTTTCCGCCTGACCAATGAGAAGGCTATCCGTTCTGTGCAAGCATGGAAGCGCGTCTGCAACGCCAGTGTGGTGACCATTCACGACGCGTTCACTAGCCGCAGCTTCCAAGACAGTTCTCTGATATTTGTGACTGACTATCACCCACTGTCTAAGACACTTGCAGACCAGCATCTCAACACTGGAACCCGCTTCCCTGGCCGTCACACCAATGCTCATATCCCTGAGCAAGTTCTCTGGGGCTACATGACCCAGATCGCCAATGGACTCAAGGCAATTCACACCAATGGTCTTGCTGCCCGAGTGCTTGAGCCTAGCAAGGTTCTACTTACCGCGAAGACCCGTGTCCGCATCAATGCTTGCGCTATCCTTGACGTGGTGCAGTTCGACACCCAGCGAACTTTGGCCGATCTCCAGCGACAAGATCTAGTCAACTTTGGCCAGTTGATTGTCACCCTTGGCGCCAACTCGCCTATTGTCATCCACAATCCTACCAAAGCCATGGAGCATTTTACTCGCTCCTACAGCCCTCAGTTAAAGAACTCTGTCTTCTGGCTGTTGAATGGACAGCAGAAGGATCAGGAGCGAACCATTGACACTTTTATCACTGGCATCTCATCCCAGCTGATGTCGACCTTTGATTCGGCACTTCACCTTGATGATCAACTAAACTATGATCTCGGCCGTGAGTTGGAGAATGGACGAATTGTACGCCTGCTGAGCAAACTCGGGCTCATCAATGAACGCCCTGAATATGAACTTGACCAGCGCTGGTCGGAGAGTGGAGAACGCTACTTCCTGAAGCTTTTCCGTGATTACGTCTTCCACTCGGTGGATAGCCAAGGTGAAGCGGTGGTTGATCTCGGCCATGTGCTCACTTGTTTGAACAAGCTCGATGCGGGAATTGACGAGAAGATCCATCTGGTCAGTCGCGACGAGCAGAGTTCCTTCATTGTCAGCTACAAGGAGGTCAAGAAAGCTCTTGAGTCCTCTTTTCAGGCTCTGATGAAGCCGGCTAGACGAATGCACTAGCGAGTCTTCGAAATATTCTACACTCGATAATGGTATGGTTTCTGACTGCTTGCCGCTTGCTATTTCTGATCACCTGTTTGATGCTCATGTCTCTGGTTTGGCAGGCTGTTAATCAGAGGTACTCGCTCAGGGGTTAACTCAAGGGTTTCATCTTTTGTTCATTTTTGCAAGCACAGATCTCGTTCGCCACCGTGAGTGAACTACAAACTTAGGAATGAAGAATTTCAAATTGTTCTCTTTGAATGTAAGCCTGTAGACATCTCTCACAGTTCACCACGAGTCATCCCATTTCCACAACCCTTTAATCTCTCCACAAGTTCTTCAATCATCAGTTCTTCCTCGCCTTCACCTTCGTCTTTGTCCTGGATCCTCTTTGGCGGAACCAACACCCGGTCCAAAACATGCACCACCCCATCCCTCGCCAACAGATTCATCAGTCTAACCCTACCAAACCCATTAACCCGCATGTCAACCTTCCCAAACTCCCTCTTAATATCAACCTTCAAGTCCCAGTCCTTCAACAGAGTCCCAAGCCACACATTCGCAGACTCTTCCTCTAGCCGCTCACCCTCGCCCTTACCCTCATCTCCACTCCTACCACCATGCCCAGAAAACAACCGATGAGCCTCCCCATTACTACTATACAAGACATCTGAGTATAGCGTTCGATTTGGCACAATATGATACTGCATCAGCGCACGCAAACACCCCTCACCTTGTCGCGAGAAAAGAAATCGATTAGCACGCTCCCCGAGCTGTCTAAACGCAGCATTCGTAGGAGCGAAGGTTGTACCGCCCTGTCTCTGCGCAGGGTCAAGTTTGGAAGCGAGTTTTGTGCGTGCTAGCGCCAGCGTGAAGGTGCTAAAATCGGCCGGTGCTTGGTGCAGCAGGGTGCGTGTCTCTGGGGGTGGGTGCAAGGGACTGGATAATATGTGGATCATGCCGTTTTTGGTTTTCTTGAGGGGAAGTTAGTATCTACATGTTTGCCCATGTGTCATGCACATTGTACGAGGGCTACTCATGGCTACTCACCATATCAGCCCCAACTACCCTACTTCTCCGGTTCAAGATCACTCCGTTGTGGTGCTCTCGAACAACAATCCTCTGTGGCAAACCCGATTCCAGAGCTGGCTCGGTCAGTTTCGTGGGCAGTGTCCCGTGGCTCGCGATATGCTCGATGGAAAATCGACCAGGTAGGATGTGGTATCGCAGCAAGCGGGACAGGAACTTGGGACTGGGACCATATCGCAGTGGAAGTCCCTCTAGGGCTTGGTTTGTTAGCGCGAAGAAGGTGTGATTTGCCGTCGTGCTGTTAAGGATCTCGATTAGGTCCTTATCATCGGTGAGAAGTTCGGCGAGGAGGTATGTATGCTCGCTTTCTTTGATGAGTTCCCATGTTGTTTTGTCTGCGTGGCAGAGCGAGCCTGGACAGGCGTCGATTGGTCGGTGGATTGGATGGTGTCGGTATCTGTCGTGGTCGTCTCTGCAGTCTCCGTGTCGGGGGTGTGGAGGATATGGTCTGTCTTCGTCATCACGGTGTCCAGGCCATCCGCCGTGTTCGGGCCTTCTTCCATGTCCAGGGGGTTCGTCGTCGTCGGGCCATCCCCCACGTCTGGGATGATCACCACCGGGCCATCTCCCGTGCGGATCTTCGTTGTATCCGGGCCAATCGCCGTGCGGTGGATATTCATCATCATCATGCCAGTCTCTGTGTCTTTCCCAGCCTCTATGTTCATCCGGAGAGATGTCCAACTGGCCCATCTCAACATCTGACTTGGACAAATGGTCATTGGCAGCTGGAGTCTCGGATATTATCTCCGCAAGGTTACCCTCATCGGGGATCACAAAGGCCGAAGCCATTGTAGCTGCCACAGACAAGAAAAGGTAAATAGAACGCATAGTGCCAATGTCGACAGGGAAATTGGAGCTAAAAGTAGATGTTCGATCAAGCCGTGGTGATATGCCTATATACACTCAAATTCCTCCCTGTAGAACCCTTTCAACTGCCTTGCTTTCTGGTTGTACTGGTGGGCTAAAATTGATCAACTACATCGCATAGCCTAGATGCAAACGATTCAGTCCTTGTCGGTCCGGTTGTCGTACAGTGCACAGACTCGAGAGACACCTTGATCAATAATAGCAAAGTCAGGGCTGGGAACATGTTACATGTTCCATTCAAGACCAGAAATCGGCGGAATACAGATATGCGGGTTATATTTTGCAGTGTCAGTTCCGGGATCAACTCGCTTCGTCGAGATCTTGTGTTCACAGACTATTCAATGTCAATTCTTGCTGTTCAATTAAAACCGAACGGGGTTGGAAGAAATGCATAGCCAACTCGTACCGACATGATGTAAGTGAGATTTCTCATGTACAATTTTTTTTTTCTCGTCCTAGCGTTTAATCCAGGTCCGGCACAGGCAGCCCATTGACAATCTTGACTTTCCGGCCAAGCTTGTCCAGAGCGACCTTGGAATTGTGCGCACGCAGCTTGCTCGTCTCTTCATCGGACACAAGCACGAAGTCATATGTGAGGAGAGGATGACCCTCGGCGACGTGATATTTCTTAGCAATCTCAGCGTCGGCCTTGCCTATGTCTACAGTCAAGGAATCCTTGACGCCGAAGACAGCATCTGAGGTTTCGTAAGGGTCGTTGCGGAGGTATAGAGCACTAGAACTTAAGTTAGCATGATGTAGATCACAAAACAAATCAATGACAAAAGCAAAAAAACTTACGTTACCAAATGGTCATAACCTTCTTTCTCAAACATAAAATGCAGATGCGAAGGACGATACGGATGACGATGTAACTTCTTCAATAATTTCCCAACCGGCCCATCATGAGGAATCGGATACGGCACCGGCGTAATCGCCTTAAACCAAAAGACGCCCGTGTGATCGGAGCGCATAACACACCTCCCATCCGGCCTCTTCCTCCCGGCATACTGGACATCATAATGTCCCGTCGAATCCGTCTCCCAGATATCAATCTTGACATCTTCCACCGGCAACCCCTGCAAGTCCCGCAGAGTACAAACAACCAACAAGGGCTCGCCTTTGGGATCATGCGACATGGAATCACCGGCTGGCATTTCCACCGCGTCGTGCGTGTGGAAAGGGCCCAGGACCGTTCCCTCAGTGGATCCCTTGGGTTTTGGGTGGTCGATTGAGTCGACGAGGATGGATAGTCCGAGCACGTCGGACAGCAGGATGAATTCCTGTCTCACGTCTGTGCAGATCTGGCCGACTTCTGTCAGGAAGCGGAGGCCGGTCATCCATTCGTCACTGCTGAGACGGGTTTCGCGGGCGAAGTCGTGCAGATGGGTTACTAGGCGCTCAAGAATGTATTTCATGCGCTCGTCTTCGCAGAGACTGTTGATGGTGATTACATTGTCGGTGATGTTGTCCACTGTTTGATCTTTCATTGGTGGGATCTTGACTTTGGAGGGATCCATGGTGGGATGTGGTATTGTAGCCTGGGATGTATAGAATGAGATAATGAATCATTCAATAGTTGAGAGCTACATGAAATCCGGGGTCAAGTTGTTAATATCTTGTAGGAATTGGTGGGGTTCTCATGCAAGTGAGTCGACTCGTTCAATCATCACCCCGCAACCCCCCACCGTCGGATATAAGATCGGATTTATATATCGGGGTTTTGGTGGTTAACAGTGTAGACTACGGTGGAATTCGACGGTTGCCTGGTCTTAGGCTTCTTATTACGGGGGTAAAATATTATCAAGGCCGGGTGATAGTGATGGAACAACACCAGCATCAACAAAAATGCGAATTTCACATTTCCAAGGGTTTAAACCCCAGAAATAAATGACGAGAGACCTTACATCCGAAGTAGGCACCGGATGAGAGTATCTAGAGATCCTACCGACATCAAGATTCTCACAGCTGTCTAGACATGCTAGATATCCAGACACAACAATGACATGTGTGCATAGTAGAAACCTAGTCGGATAGAGGTAGATGAGCGTATTTCCATGGTCATAGAAATGTCGAACGAAGGGTAGAGATATTCTAGTGGTTGGAAGAAGACAAAAAAAAAAAAGAACGCTAATTAGAGGGATATCTAACATAGTACTCCCACACCCAACCCATTTTGCTAACGGCGATGTAAGAACCACCCAAAATTTACACAAATCAACAGAAGAGACAGTACTTTACGCATGCACCATGCGCCGGTCACGGTCACAATCAGCCTCTCGCTCACGATCATGGTCACGCTCTCGTTCTCGTTCTCGTTCACGCTCACGCTCATAAGCACTGGCACCAGAACCCTGAGCCGGGTTTGGAGCAGGAAGAACAATGACTGGATGTTGATGGTCCCCAGCGCGCTCCACACCACGTTCTCTCTCCTGCACAGCAGCAGCAACACGGGTGTGATGATCGACAGTATCCATAATAGCCTGTCTGAGCCGCTGATTGGCATCGGGGTCCTCATCCTCGGAACGATCCAAGACACGACCAGCGGGGGCACGAGGACGGTCCCTCCTCTCTGCCTCACTCACAGCCCGTCGCGGGGAATTGTCACTTGAATGAAGCTCCATCGGATTTGTAGTCCCAGGAGCCAGGTTTGGGGCGGAAGGGGCGGACTCGCGTCGGTTTTGATAGTAGTAGGCATTCCTCTCTGGCTCGAAGGGTGGTTCTCGGGGATGCTCACGCTCAGCGGAGATCGGGGGGAGTGGACCCATACCAAACTGGGGCGGGGTTACGTTTGCACTGGAGCGGTCGGTGTCGGGACGCTCGTGGGATGTCGTCGATGTGGTGATTCCCGCCCGCATTGCTGTAATTTCTTCTTCTTTGACGTCGCGCCAGGAGCACTTTGCGTGTTTCTTCGTGCAGCCAACGCAGGCTGTGAGGTTCTTGAGGCAGTCCATGTGGAGACGGCGGCAACGGTCGCAGGGTGGGATCACACGCTCGCCACGCTGAAGCTCCTCCATGCGGGCTATCATTTCTAACTTGAAGGGGCCTCCATCATCCTTCTCTTGGTGAATGGATTTTGGCGGCGGGAGGAGGGATGATGGGGTGCTTGGGATCGCGACTGCCGCTGTGGTTGCAGCCGTGGTTGAGGTTGTGGTTGCGGGTGTGGTTACGGCTGCAGCTGGGACTGCGGTTGTTGTCACGGGATTGTAGAGACTGTAATCTGCTGGGTCGGAGGCACGAGGCCGGGGGAGAGGTTGGGGGTTGACAGGGGCTGTTGCATCGTCATAGCCGCGGGCGTGGCGGTCAGCTGTTGTGAAAAACCTCTTCATCAAGTCTGCCCGGGTTGTTGGGGAGGCACCTTTGATTGATTGTCCGTTGATCATGGTGACATTATCGGTGGATTGTGAGAACATGAATTGTGATGACAAAGGGTTCTGGTTCTCTTCGGTGTGTTCGCCTTCAGGGCGATGAGTGTTGACAGCGACGAAACCAGACGGGGAAGGGCGAGACGATGCATGACCGTTTCCTGGGCCATGACCGTTGGCATCGCGCCAGATTTCGGTGACATTTCGAGAATTCCTATGTAGAGAAGCATCGTTCTCTCGTCGGGTGACAATAGCATTGCGGCGGTTCTTCAACCGATGGTTGAGCTGTCGCGCTCGAGCAGAGACTAAACGCAGAAAGATCGTCAGCGAAAACCTCCTAAGCTGATTCGAGTGATTCCTTACCTTGATCGGCCATTTGAATGATATGATGCAAGTTCTTCTCAAGAATCTCCAGCGCGCCCAGCTCCTTTTCCTCGTCCTCAATGATAGGCTGGGGCGGGATCATCTTCTGGGGCATACCGGACGCAATCAAAACGAAATCCTCCTCGCTGATTTCTACACGACACTGTTTCGTGTAGAACTGGCAGACTCGCACGCCGTTGCGCGACTTTTCCAGATTGAACTGTTCAGGCTTATTCTTCGCGAATTCAACCACATCGAGCCAAGTCACTGTAGGTCCGTCTTTGCCATGAGATTTCAACACTTGCGGGGGTCCATCGAATAGACGCTCGAATCGTTTGATCAAGATTGGACCGAGCGGGCATGCGCCCAGATTTCCGGCGATGCTCTCGTGGCGATGTAAAACGCCGTCGTATTCGCCGAGCAGGTGGATTATCGCAGGCATGGTATCATCGACGGAGACGAGGGGTAGGTTGTCCGGGTATTGCCGTGCCAGATAGTTTATTTGCAGGTGATTCGAGTGCGTCTTGAGCATTTTCGACATGCCGTGATCGGCAGTGGGAGATCTCGGCCGTTTGTGAGACGACTCCGCCGTTGGGGCGTGGGATTCCATTGTGGGTGGTGGTGGGAGAAACCACTAAAATACACCCTGGAAGCTGGTTTGGGGATATGGTGGAAAGAGATTGGAGAGTGGGAGGACAGAGAGAGGAAGTCGCGGAGGGAATTCAGATAAGAACGCGCAGTATGGAACTTGCGCGGAAATGAACCGGACTTGCGCGGAAGGAAACCGGCAGGTAACTCCTTTTAAATAACTCAAGCAACATCCATGAAGGTGAAGAAATGAAAGGGGAAAATCGTAGGGCACCTACAGAGGGGAGGAACAACGCACGGGGAGTGGAGAGGAAAAACGTGATCTGTGTTTTCCGTTGGGGGCCCAGGACTCGGAGGGTCTCTTCTTTTCATTTTTCTTCAATTATTTTCTTGATGGACGAATAGTGCTACAACGGAAATTCCGACAACGTACGCTATGTGAGGAACTTCCACTAAAGTACCTGGCCACCTTGGAGCCCTCGGCGGAGTCCCGCCGGAGGGTTCCGCTGGCCTGCGATACGCTGTTTGAACCGGTGTACAACAGTTACGCCTTGCCTACTCCGTATAGTCTCACATATTTAGAGAAGAACTTTACATAATATTAGGAGCAGGTGAGCTCATCTTATAGGTTCATAGCTAATCTATCTCCAAAATTAAGCCTTGAGCCTTGTGGATCTGCGTTGATTTTGCTGATGCCTGGGCTGAAACATTTTCGGCCCCGGGGGAGCTCGGAGGAAATTTACGACAATCTGGCCTGAGATCAGATTACTTGAAAAAAATAGCAAAGAGATACATAAACAATGCAGATACATGGACACAATGGAGAAGGAAATCATACAGTCGAGTGTCAATTGCTCAGATCCGAAAAGCAAGATACCTGTAATTCAACAGTAAAATACCTCCGAGCGGGATCTCTCATGACTATGGAGCGAAATAATACATTGGTAATTGGTAATCTCCATACCAAGGCGGACTCACGACTCTCATGCCTAAGGCCACACTCTCAACCTGAAAATCCCTCATATACACGCCCACCTTTGCTTGTATCTTCCGCTATCTCCCCCCCCCAAGAGTACACAGAGATACAGAGATACCATAACTCTGTATCCCTCAGACCCAATCTTGCTTGCCTCGTTTAATATCTTCCTTCCCTTTCCGAAATCCCTCAATTACACAGACCATGTCTGAACGAGGCTCATTCCGAGGCGGTCGCGGTCGTGGAGGCCGCGGCGGACAGGGCCAGCAGAAAAGTGGCGGTGGTGGCGGTGCACAGGAGAAGCCTAAAAAGGAAAACATCTTGGATCTCAGCAAGTACATGGACAAGGAAGTCCAAGTGAAGTTCAATGGTGGTCGTGAGGGTATGTTGGATTGATATCTTCTCATCTTATCTCGTTAATTGGCGTTTTGGTTTGGTTTTTTTTAATTTTCTACTTTTGGTCAATGAGGACTTCTCATCGCCGATGAATTAATTGAGCTAATTGTAACTAGTCATCGGAACCCTCAAGGGCTACGATCAGCTGATGAACCTGGTCCTCGACGACGTGAAAGAAACCATGCGGGGTGAGTTCCAAGTTTCTTCCATGAATCGAATCTATCTGTCTCTGCTTCGTATGTGCTAACTTCCCCAGATGAGGAGGGCAACACTACCACCCGCTCAATGGGTCTGATCGTCGCCCGTGGTACTTTGATCGTACTGATCTCCCCCGCTGACGGCAGCGAGGAGATCCCCAACCCTTTCTTGCAAGCAGAAGAGTAAACTAAAAGCTCTTTATCCGACGAATTATCTCCTTTCCGGGTTTCATTCACTCCGGATCTAGATGTCATTTCGGGAAATGAACATCCTGGATCTGGTTGGAGCTTCATAACCCTACACACCTTGATGTTCCACTGACTCTCTGCGTGCGCCGGAACATACGCTCATCAGCAGCTACGAAAGGAACGAACGCAATGTGATGGTTTCGTTTTTTTTTCCTTTTTTTTTTTTCTGTCGACTTGTAATGTGCATGGTAGGACTGCTACGGTTCTGATTCGGTTCTGTCTTTTGTCACTCTTTTCTTCTCACGGAAGCAGATGTATTTGGGGATCGGCTTATGATACATAGCGCCTACCCAAAAAAAAGAAATACCCCCAAAAAAAGACAATGTCAACACGAAAGGTCAAGCGAACTGCGTAGGTATCATAGTTTCAAAGCCAGCGTAACAAATTCACATACCATCCTGTGCACTACCCCTAATCATCGATCTACTGGCCCACTTCCCCAGATGTGGGCCCCACCGTTTCTCCAAATTCAGCAGAGTCATCGGAAGCTTCATCACTAGGGTCATCAGCTGGCAGGGAAACCTGTCGCGGCTCTGCATCCTTCAACCTTCTTACACCCTCAGCTTCCTCGACCCAGGGCCCAACCTTCTCCATGCCATCGATAAACTCGGCCCCAATGCGCAGACTAAGACCCGCGCTTAGAGCACGCTCGATACGGGTCTCGCGAGTCTGCGACACAAGGGTGCGGAAAACGTGCACGAAGAAGCCGCCAAGAATATCAACGCTCCAGTCCTCCGGAACAAGATCGAGAACTTCGCGGACATCGAACCATGCCGCGAAGCGCGCGAGGAGATCGCAGGTGCGCTCGATGCGGTCTGAGAGGTCCTCGATGTGTAGGAACTCGTTCAGCAGGTGACGGAAGAGCGTTGTCTGTAGATTGTAGTCTGCTAGTTCTGGCGGGGTGCCTGTTGATGAAGGAGAGCTGCGCGGGCCTCCGAAGAGACAGTAGCGGATTGCGGAGTCGTGGTCGCCTAACCCGTGTGTGAGGAGGTGAAGGGCTGGGCCGTGGTGGCCCTGTAGGCCGTCGAGGATAATGCACTCCGAGACTAGCTCGTTCCGGAATGGCTCGATGCGGGTAAGGACGTTGGGGATTGAGTAGCTTATTCCTGTTGGGATGGGGTTGGAGGTAAACTGGGAGCTGTTGATTCCACCCAACAGCTGAAGTAACCGGAGTCGGGACTGCCACCAGGGCTCTGTGGGGGTATTCTCGATTATGAAGTTTAGATATGTCGGTTTGGGGGCACGTAAGGCTCGATAGGTTAAGTAGGAGTCGGCCAAAGAAGTTCGTGCTTCGGGGGATGACTCAAGCACGGAGAGTACCGTGTCTAAGTAATGTGAGATCAGGTCGTCGGCATATTGCGTGTACTGTATTCACACATTAATCAGATGTTCATAGACCAAGATAACCGAGCGTCTCACATTCTTTGCAAATACCAAGTGCTCTAGGTAAACCTGGACCGCATTTGGAGCTCGCTCCTTGAGTAAAGCAACAACCTCCGCCGGTTCCAGTCTAACACGGCTGGTATTGTCTGCAAATACCTGGATACCCAGATTGGGGTTCCGCGCAGCCAGCCAAGAGCCATACTCTTCAACCAGCTGCACGTCCTTGATCTTGACCAAGTACCTGCGCATCTGCGTCTCCACGCCATTGGCGGAAACCTCTCCGCCAGCGTCAGTCTCTCCATCGACGATTCGTCGCCAGGTTTTGAGGACATTTCGAGACATCTTTTGGCTTTGATACAGACGACTTAGCACATAAAGCCGCTTGTATGTTTCCAGGAGCATCACTGCGCGATCGAAATTCCCTTTCCAATTATCAACGAGCCTATTCAATTCGGGGCGAATTGGCGACGCCGCCCGCTGATCTCGTGTCAGGTAGGCATCTTGTTCCAATGTCAGGTGCAACAGCGCGGCATCTGTGCTATCCAAAACATTTGTTTCATCGGTGATACTACCATATCCCCGCTTCTGTTGCCAGGATAGAAGGAACCTTTTAACCATGTTGAGAACAGGACTGCGAGAAGCATCCAAACCAGAGGATTCAACCCCTATCTTTCCAACCTGTTCAAGATATTTTCCCACCATGCTTGCCAGCCCAGCGTGTGTCCAAATACCCTGAGGCCCCTGCAGAACCTCGCATCGCAACAGAGGAACAAAAAGTAATGCCAAGCGCGGATCGAGGTTACCTGCCAGTAGCGCTTTTTCGGTGCCGTCGATTGCTGCGGCATTGCGGCTGTCTGGCTGCATAGAGAGAAGGTCCCCATAAAGCATAAGGCTGGCCTTTTGCTTCACATAGCTCAATCCAATAAATTCAGCCTCAGTCTTTGGCTCAGTGTCCTGGACAGAGAGCAGTAGATCCATAATGATATCTCTACGCAGCACCATGTGCTCGCTCTCCACCGTCTCCTGAGCCCTATGCAAGGTGTCCTCCAGCTGGGCTATCAATGGATTATGCAGTACGCGCCATATTTGAGATCCAGACCACATGACAAGACTGCTTTGGACCTTGCCCAGTCCATGTGCAAATTTTGCTTCTTCTGCGTCGCGTTCAGCCTCCCAGCCTTGGCTTGCTGAACCGTCGCTCTTCTTGGAACCCCCCGAGTCAGTCAATTCTTGCAAATCGAACAGTTCTTTCTCCTTTTGGGAGTGCTCGATGGATGCCTGGGTTCTTGAATCTGCCACTGACACATGCGGGGGCAGCGTGGAGTTTTTGAGGCGTACTATCCGCAAGAGCTGCCCGATTTCGTTGAGCTCAAGGTGGCTAGGGCTGAGAGTATGTCGGAGGCCAACTTGGGTGAATTGCGTCTCTCCAGAAGACGGTATCTCTAACCAACTCTTGGTCCGCTCACTCTCCCCTGGGTCTTCATCCCAACGTTGGATTTCGAGTCTTGTCCGAGACTTTCCAGCGTCTTCGTCTTCGATCACAGCGAGAACAAACTCCTCTTTGCCATCTCCACTGGTCTGGAACGTTTCATCAAGCTCATTTGTATCAATCACAACCGACTTTGGGAATCTGTGGAAGTTGATTGTGCCACGAACGACTTCACCATCCATGTCAACAAACATTCCAACGCCCGGTTCTGTTTCCTCGGTTCCGGTTACAAGTAGAAATTCAGAAGGGGTTGGGGACACCACGTGAGGCTGGAGACGCCTCGAGCTTTGCTTTGCTGGCGGAGGTGGAGGCGACAAGGGCTTCAAGCTGTC